GCCTCTGTGCTCTCAAGAAGCAAGTTTCCCATCCTATAAGTGTGCTGGTGGTTACTACTGGCCAAGTGCAGCACCCTGCACTTGTCAGTATTGAAACGCATCCTGTTTTTGTTAGCCCACCCCTGTAACCTATCCAGGTCTTGCTGCAGTCTTTCCCTCCCTATTAGCTTGCTCACCTCACCCCAAATTTTGGTATCATCAGCAAATTTAAACAGGTTGCTATTCACCCCATCGTCCAAATCGCTGATAAAGAAATTGAACAGCACGGTCCCAAGGACCGAGCCCTGGGGGACTCCACTGCCCACTTCCCCCCAAGTCGAATATGACCCGTCCACCACCACCCTCTGAGTACGACCCTTCTGCCAATCTGCAGTCCATCTGGCTGTGTAGGCATCAATGCCACAGTGGCCCAATTTTTTAATGAGGATGGAGATGATGTGTCAGAGAGGGGCAGGTGGGCCAAGGTGATGCAGCAGGGAGGCCATGTGCCCCCCCGAGATTTCTGCACTCGCAGCAGGGTGCGGGACACAGGGCTACAGCTGGGGCAGACCAACTCCAGGCAAGCGTCACCTCCACAGCCCAACAGACGGGACCCAGTGTGGGAGGGAATGCCTCCATGGCTTCCGAAGTGAGGTGTGGCGGCAGCGTGGAGTTGTGCCCCTGCTGCTGCCAGGTGGATAGGGGGTGCCTCACCTTGGTGGCCATGGTGGTGTGGTGCTCCCTCCTGCCCTGGATCCCACCCTCTGGGCCATGGAGGTGGCTCCTTCCTGGAACTGGTTTGACCCGGCTGCAGCCCTGTTCCCCGCTGTGGGTGCAGAAATCTCTGGAGGCATGTGTTCCCCTGCCATGTCACCTTTGCCCCTTCCTGCCCCTCCATGCATTGCCTGTGCCCACACCCACTCCGTTCCCCACATACTGGCAAGCTGGGGTGGAGGGGGGCATATGTCATCATCTTAGGCTCCCTTACCCCAGCAAAAGTAAGTCAGCACCTATGCCAAGGGCTTATTTAAGCTAACATATTGTATCACTAAGCATTTTAAATTGCATGGAGAGGGCTTCTGACAAGGCTTACATTTTTATAGATGAGAAGTCTGACAGTTCACGGGTAGCTGTCACTATCTGTTAGGAATTCTTTGCTCCCTGGGATCTCTCTCAACACTGGTTGTTTTTGTATATGGGCACCATAGTGCTTGAATCAGTGTATTCAGCTGAATCCAAGATGACTTTGAATTTAAGATGACCCCCCAGTAGTTAGATTCTATATATGGAAAATTTATACGTGTTATAATTTTATATGTATAGAATCTTATTAGTGGCAGATCATCTTAAATTATTTCCCCCACCCCACCCCCCGGCTGTGGCAGAGAAGGCAGTGGCAGGGGGTGAGGGACCAGACTCCTGCCCCTTGTCCTCCCTATGACTGTGCCTGCCCCCTCACTGCCTGTCCTCACCAGTGCCTGTGCTTCCCCACTGCTACCTGCCTCGCCACCCTTGCCCCCCACCTTGTCTGTACTGCCCCCTTCCTCCAATACCTGCTTCACCCCATGACCCCCAGATGCTTTTGGGGTGGCTCTGGATCCAGCTGTGGGAGAAACAGTAGCTTAGTCCCAGCCAGGCAAAAGCAGTGTCAGCCTATGGTAAGCTGTGGGAGAAACAGGCTACAGGGTCCCCTGTGTGCTCTCTAGCCCCACTGGGGTCTCCCCCATGTGCCCCCTATTTCCACTGCAGATCTCCCCTATGCTCACCTGGTATGAGCCTCCCTCCCCCACAGCACAAGCCACCCTGGCCCAGGATGAGCAACGGCTCAGCTCTGGTTTCAGCCCCAGGCTTGGGGCCAGAGCTGGATCTGAGCCACCACCTGCCCTGAGCCAGCACTTGAATCAAACATGAGGCTTTTTTCTGAACATGTTGTTTGTGAGAAAAAACCTTGTCTTGAATTTGAGTAAATATGGTATTAAGAATATAAATGAATGGCTTCTGTAGTGAAGATAAGATGGTATGGCAGAGCATGGTTCATTCAGATTATTAATTCATTAGCTTTGTTGAGGATATCTTCATGGCATAATGGATTGCCATACGGAGATACCCAAATTGGCTTGGGTACAAGGAGCAGTCTAACCAGTATAGTGTCATGCTTTGCCTACACCAAGTAGGTATGCTCACAAGTGGAACATATTGGCCTGGGCAGAGTGTCTCATTAATTCGTGTGTATTGCTTCCAGTACTCAATCAACTAATTCAGCACTACCTTGGGCACCTACACAGCATGCATTGTGCCATATGAATACACCCAAAATGACTGCTGCAAGTTTGTTACATGAAGAAATAAACACTAAAAGTCTAATCTCTATCTTTAGTTTACTTTGCAGTGTGAGAACTTCCAGGTGGCAATGGACTATTCAAACCTTAGTCAAATTAAGGTCACTGCAATGGCATAGTATTTTGAAATCCTTGAAATACTCTATCTGAATTTAAGACTGCTGTCTAAACTAACTGTATGAAGCCCAAACTATGTTTATAAAATAATTATTGATGGGGGTAGTCAATGTCTTGTTTTGCAAATGTAAGAGGGTGCCTTTCCCCTCAGATATATAGAGACATCTTATAAGCTGTCACCTCTTAAAATTGGAGTGTTTGCCAAGTACTATTCTTTTTCTTACCTTCCATTTTTGAGACCTGGAGAAGGTGGCAACCTTTTAGCACCACATTTATCTTGAGGTTAGTTAATTTCTAGATAACTTCTAATTTGGATTCAGGCTGCCTCTAAATTTACTGTTGCACTGATCAAGGTCATGAATGACCTCGTGGTCACTTTAAATTAGCTTAGAATGGTTGTTTTGGAAGAATTTTTATTTGCATGACTGGTGGATTATTGCTTTGGAGGCTAAAACTCTTTGCAGGTGTGTTTGGAATGATCTGCCCGCATTTTTAGCTCTTGCTCAGCAGATGAGTCAGTCAATGGCAAAAGACAATTGGATTGGATTGTGGTGGTATTGGACCAGAACCTTTGATTTGACAATATATTTGCTTCATCTGCCATACTGTTCAGCAAACACAAACTTTTTAATAAGAATTTCTAATGATGGGTTTCCTGCAGTAATATGGTTCTTGCATTGTAAAGCCTATAACAGTTGTAAAGGAACACTTGGAGGATATCATGACCCTGACTAGTTGGCTGTTTTCTCCCCGGTGTTAAGACGGGTCTCACTGACACTTTCACTTAATACAGTAACCTGTTCAGAAGTTGGAAATTCTTTTAAGAAAGGTGCATTTTTAACCAAAAACAGAAATAATGCGCTGAATTTAAGGGAAAATCTTAAATTATACAACAAGATGTTTTTTGATTAAGGGTGTTCTCTTATTCATCTTTCCTCTGTAATACTTTCAGTAGGTGTCAAGGGACTATAAGGTCTTTCAGGAATAGCAAACTGCAGCAGAATAATAACATTGTCAAGTGAATGAATCTGTGGCTTCTACAATTAGAAAGGTAGATTGTGAATGAAGCAGGCAATCTGTAAGAGAGGATGGGTGAGGTAGTTTAGGTATTGGCTAAAGTTTACAAGAGGGGATGTCTTGTCCTTGGCTTCAGCACAGATTTTCTACATAATCTTATTAACCAGACAGTCTTAGAGCACTGTTTAGTTATATAACTGATAACATTTGATTAGGTCAATTACAGCAACTACTACTAAAAGTTCCATTGGTATTATATGATGTCTAGTGTGCTCTGAATTTTGTAAGAAGTAAATGCTTTGTTCATATCTTCCAAAAGATTTATAAAATAGAAGTAAATTTGTAGTTAATAATTTTTCAGATACACTAAAAGTAAATGTGAGTACAATAAAAGTAGGCACGATAATTTACTGTCATTTTGTACAGGAAGCCATCGAATCATTCAAAGAAGCCCTGAAGCAGAAAGCAGACTTCATAGATGCATATAAGAGTCTGGGACAGGCTTATAGGTGAGCATGTTGAAAAATATTTTTTAATTTTGCTATCCATCATGGGATGTTCTTGAAATGCCTAGCACACTGCCAGCTCCATATTCAGTAAATAAAGCAACGTAAGTAGTTCTTGTTCATGCAATGTTAACTTCGCTCCTTGTATAATACACTTTATAATTACATGATTGCATATTATTTTTTCCACAAGTCCTGTGTACAGTCTTGTACATGGGATGGATGGTATTTACTAATCAAAAAGCTAGTAATTTCCTTATTCTTATCATTTAGTGCTTGGCCTCATTCCTTATTTATGACAGTGGTGAAACTCTGCCCTGAATGTAGAACTCTTGGGTGTTTTCACATGTGCTTGGGAGGGCCCTTAATTAGAGCGGCTCCAAGAACCTCTCTAGCAGACTCGATTAATTTCAGCCTGTTGGAGCAGCCTCCAGGCTTGTGTTTAGGCACCTATTGATTCCCATGAGCTCTCCTATGGCACTTTTTATCATGGTAATTAAGTGCTTCACAGCCTTGAGTGAATAGATCTTCAGAGTTGTTACTGAGTCTTGGGGGGTGGGAGAGGTGCTTGCTTGGGAACATGGTGCTCTTATTGGGTGTGGCTTCTCTGGTTGTGGGGTGGGGAAGAATTGCTACTTTGCTTTTTGAGGAACCTAGCTTTTTGGTCTCTTACGTTCCCTGGTTCTCAGTAGCCTTGACTCATTGTACTGTCATCCAGTTTCCCTCCTGAGTGAGGGACTTCACCTCCTGTTAGGGGAGACCCAATGCAACCCCCATCCCAAGCAGCACAGCAGACCAGTCTCTTATACATGCCTTTACTGAGGCATTTACTAGGGCAAAGGCCACCCACCCAGAGGTTCTCTGTCCCCTCCAGATGGGTTAAGCAGTCCAGCCTGAAGAGCCTTGGGTGCCCTGAAAGATATTTATCTGTTCCCTTTCCAGTCTTTCCAGCTCCCCAAAACTTCACCACTTCTCAGCTCCCAGACCTTTCTAACCAGAACCTGCCAAGCTGGTTTTTTTGGGCCTGCTCTCCCATTGTCATGTTTATCCCTGGGTGTTGCAAGTCAGGTCAGTCCTGAGGCTGCTGCAACCACTGGGGAATCTTAGAGGCTGTAACAACACTCCTCCACTCTGCCCTGTGTTTGGCTAGCTGTGTGCACTCTGTCAGTTGAAGCCCCATCTGGTCCCAATATTGTTTCCCCAGCTTGTCTTGGTCTGCTTCTTTTTCTCCACTGTGCCCTGCATTTTGATGTTGGCAAGGGTGTCCGGCCTTCTTTTGATGTGTC